TATAAAAAGAAAATAGATGCTTTAACTCAAAGATTAGACGAGAAAGGGAATGGTTTACGTGAATTAGAAGAGAAAAATGCCAAGCTCCGAAAGGAAGCATCTAGATATCAATCAGCCCTTGGTGTTGCAACGAATGTTCGCCTTGGTGACGATGATCAGAATCATTCGGTTCAATTAAAACGTGACATCGAAAATTTACAAAGCGCATTAGAAAATTATGTAACACATTTGAAACCTAATATGAATATTGACGTTGAAAAAGTACGAGCCCTTGCAAAGGAATATGGTTGTATGAATAAAGTTACTGAAAGAAACTTAGATAAGTCCTTCATTAAAGCAATCCTACAACGCAGAACATTGGACCTGGTGTTATCCTATCGGCCACAGTTATCTAAACATCATGGTAAAGACTATGCACTTGAATCGGATGTTGAGCTAAAAATGAAAGACTTATTAGACCTAATCAATGTGTTAACGAAATCTCGCGATGGAAATGATAAAGTAACTGACGCGACAATAATAAAGATACGTCAGCAAGTTTACGGGATTCTGGGTAACCGTGGATTTAACGATATAATCCGTAATGATAGATTCTTTATACATAATCTTATATTTCACATTAGTGAGAAACTCAATGAAATGATGAACGAATATCGTAAGATTAATGACGTGAATATGAAAAATCGAGTTGAGTCGATGGCGCCAAAACTTGTTCGAGATATTTGCAAACTATTTTGGTTTCGCGTATACGTTCAAGAGCCAGCACTGGAATACTTTTTTTTCCCTGAGAATGTTATAATCGATCAAAATATGATGGAGGGAAAATGGAATGACGATGAAACTAATCAATTACACGTGGATATTTGTTATTTTCCAATGTTCGGATCAAGTTTGCAATCTTCGGATAGAAAAATACACACGCCTGCAAGAGTGTTTCCACAAAAAAAAAATTAAAATTCGGGAGTGATGGATTTAACTATTCTAGGGATTTTTATGATATACATGTAACGACACGCAGTATAACAATAAAATATCTTACTCAATATATTTAAATATGTACTTTATTTATATAAATACCAATCCCAATAAATATAAAAATAAAAATAACTTTATCCAATATTAATCTTCTGCATCTATATCAAAAGTGGTTTGATAAGTTTGGCCATTAATTCTATTATTCGCAGTCGCCGTAATCTCCATTCGGCCAAACGTTAACTTAA